TCACTGATCCATCAGGTAGTAAAACAAAGGAGGCGAATGCATCAGATGTCTTGGAGCATTTTAACAAAACTATTGTAGTAAATAGTGAAAATAGGTAGGGTGACCCGGGGCAATTCTGGCAGCCAGACGTGAACCTTAACTTTAACTGCTTGTACCGCGGTGAACATATTTTTCATTTTATTTTGACAATTACCATAGTAATTCTATGTTATTCCTCTAGTGTTTTCATATATTTAGACAACAATCTCAAACTCCCCTTAAGGGGGTTTGAGGTTTTTTTTTTTTGGAGTGTCAGATGCCAGAATTGCCCCAACCTTGGGGCAATTATAGCAATACCTTATATTTTCCTTATTGTTTAAATTGCTCTGACATTGGGGCAATCATGGCATAGGCCTAATTTAGCTGTTTAAGATGGTGTTTTAATTTTTGTTCTATCTCTATTTATAAGGAAGTTGTGAATAAACCGGTAAGACAGTACAAGCGTACAAGGGCCTTAACCTCAAAACTTCTAGCAACAATAAACAATAAAAATAATCAGCCTGCCATAGAGTAATCTAAGCAAAAGGTGTTTACAAAGCCATCCAAATGAACTGAAATGAAACATATTACACATAACACACGTTGTTATACAATTTATTCTTTTATTTATACATTATTTGTATAAAGATATATAGCTGCCATAATTGCCCCGGGTTCTTTGCCACAATTGCCCCATAGCATATGAAAATGGGGCAATTATAGCACCCATTTAAATTTAAATATCTTAAAGGGATAACTGCTATTACTATTTTTGTTCATGAAGTTTTAAGTCTGAACAATTATCTTTGAGTATAAAAAAAAAAATATATAAAATTCATAGGGGAAAAAAAATTAGCCGTGTGCGATGTTTCTATATCCTCGGGCTGTGGAAGAAAGTACTTTTTTAATCGCTAATAAAAAATTCTGCAAACATTTTATTTTTACAAAAATGCTTTCCTATATATAGGAGGTATATGCTGAAATAACAAATATTGCTTCACTGATCTGTAAAGCTGAAATTTAAAAAAAATATAGGCCATTGCTATAATTGCCCCGTGCCAGAATTGCCCCGGGTCACCCTACGAGGTGACTCTTCCATGGACTGAAGGCCATACGGAGCTTATGGACAACAAAGTTACAGCCGAGAAGCGACTACATGCAGTGACCAAGAAGTTGATTAAGTTAGAAAAGTTCAATGAGTATGATCAGGTATTTTCAGAGTGGTTAAATTCAAACATTATTGAAAGGGTTGTTGAGTCCTCTGTAACTGATAGACCTGTACACTACTTACCTCATCACGCTGTGGTCAAAGAATCCAGTTTGACTACTAAGGTTCGACCAGTCATTGATGCTTCTGCAGTCGATAGTAGAGGGAACTCTCTTAACTCTTGTTTGGAAAAGGGACCTAATTTAATATAACTAATTTCAGCTCTTCTAATGAAGTTTAGAAAACACCCAATAGGGGTTATTTCAGATATTAAGAAAGCTTTCTTGCAAGTAAGTTTAACAGAAAGTGACAAAGACGCTTTAAGATTTTTCTGGTGGGAGCGACTTATTGGAGAGGTAAAGGAAATTTTACGACGAAACTTGGGAAATTCTTTAGTCACGCAGGAAGAACTCTCAACAATTTTGTGTGATTGTGAAGCAACTGTAAATTCAAGACCTTTGACTTATCTTTCGAATGATGATGACTGTTTACAACCATTAACCCCAGCCTTATTCTTACAACCAACATCAACAGTTGAATTACCCGATTTGGAGGAAATTGAGTGTCTAAGTTTGAATAAAAGAGTGTGTTATATAAACAAATTGAGAAGACCACTACAAAGACTTTTCCCATTAGAAATCACAGCTTGTGAAAAAGAGTGTATGAAAGAAAATAAACCACTTGAAGAAAAAGAAGGTATAGTTGAAAACAAAGTCTTTGATTTTGCTAAGAAGAAAACCAGATGTGGAAGAGAAGTAAAAGTGCCCCAGCGATTTTACTGATTTAAAATTGCACATGATTGGTTAGCAATTTTAAATGGGGGGAGGATGTTGTGAACTCTATTGAATATGTTTTCATTTCATTGATTTTCCTTTTGATCTGACTGTTATATTTTTCTAAACTACTGTGTTTTGTTTTACCACATGTTAAATATTTTGTATTGAATTTATTTAATTGTTTGAAGATTCAGTTAAGACTTTGGAATAAATAAAGAAGCCTACTAATCTGTTTGTGAAATAATTATTTTATAATTTCTGGTAATTATTTCAAGATTCAAAACAATTTTTATATTTTCGGTAATGTAGGTTAAGCTTACATAAGGGATTTACAAATTAAACTTGAGTAGTTATAAAATACTTACTTTGAAAAAAACAAATGCTTGTCGCTAAATAGTTATTGCCCAAAGTTTACTCTTCATAATCAAATAAAAAAAACAAGCAGCTAAACAGGCAGAGAATTAAACCGGTAATACCCTCAAATTCTCCCTTTTGCATTGTAAGCAACCACAACAGTTAAACATATTTAGATTTAGAAGAAACATAAACTGACTTATTCAAAAATAACTTTAGCGCCAAAAGTTATCGGTTGTTAGCTCCTTATTTAAGTAAAAATAAAATATATACCGGTAGGCTATTTTATTTTATAAATGTTGTTTTTTTGGTTGATTTTATTTTGTTTAAAAAATGCAAAATGCTGTACCAGTATGTTGTTGGTATTGTAAAATAAAATAGGCCTATACTAATAAATACTGTGTTTCTCAGTAAGTTAGGCATAGTACAGGGTGATTACCGAGAAACGCATGTTTTTCAAATAACGAGTACTCAGGTAATTCAGAGCAAAAAATCTATTTATGAGTGGAAAAACAGTGTACACAATATGCAATTTCAGAATAAAATTACTTGCAATTTAGCATTTAAAAATTACATTTCTAACATGGTGGTTAGAGAACATTGATAATTTTACGGGCCGCCTTCTGCTTTGATACAGCGTTGAAGGCGTTCCTTAAAACTTTCTACGGAATTTGCTAACATATCTCTAGGAATGGCGTTGATTTCCTGGCGAATAGCTTCTTTATGTTTCCTGTATTGTTTTTGGTTTGTTTATGTAAACTCTAGATTTAAAAAATCCCCATAGAAAGGAATCTGGAATTTTAAGACCTGGTGAGCGCTCGGCCAAGTGACACCACCAAAATGTGGGATAACTCTTTTAGGTAAAGTTCGCCGAAGGAATTCCATTCTAATGCGAGCTGTATGGACTGTTGCCCCATCTTGTTGGAACCATACGTCATTACGTATCTCGACACGTTGATGGCGCAGTTCCGGCAAGATATGTTCTTCCAACATGTCTAGGTACCGTTATGGATTCACTGTCACTGCTCTGCTGTCGCGGCTAGGACTCTGAGCTGTTGCAAGGCGCACTCTTTAACTGTCTCAGGGGTAATAACTGTCCTTGCCAGTCCAGGAGGTTTTCTCTTAAGCAGAGATCTAATTGAGTTTTACATTATGTATCCAACGCAATATCGTGTTACGATCAGGGGTAGCGCCATGCCGTGCAAGGTTAAAATGGTTATGAAATTCTCGCTGAGTCTGAGTGACTGATTCACCATTTGCGTAATATCGTCGCATGACAAACATACGATGCTCAAGGTCCCACATCTTGGCAAAAATTGAAACTGCACACTTCCCCCTACACATCGCAACAACTTCTGGCCGTCGCCGAACGATATTCCTTGTGTACTACGAAAGTCAAAAACATGCGTTTCCCAGTAATCACCCTGTACTTGATGAATGATATTAATAAGTAGGTAAAATGTAAGCCCAAAGTGGTGATGGGTTAAGGTACGTTTTGCTTGAAGCGACAGGTGCGACAGTTGCGGGGTGGTAGACTGTTTTGCTTGGAGCGACAACTTATTTTTCCTGGCGTCACGAGACGTGGCACCGTCCGTCAGTGCACATAACCTCAAAAGTGCGCACTACTAAGTATTAAGTCACTAAATAAATTTGATAAATTCACTTAGTAAAACAGGTAAAACTTAACAATAAAGTATTATTTGTAGGCCTAGTTATTTGTTATGAGAAACATTGCAAAACTGCCATGTCACAAGCAAAAATGTAATAAAATTACTCAATTTCTCCATAAATTGCAGTACACAAGCATAACTTGAATTGGAAATCAGTGTTATAAACAACCTCCTCATAGAATGAAAATTATATTTTATTGATTGTATTGTAGATGAAAAAATACCTATATTAAAATAACTTGTAATACAATAACTGAATAACATAATATTAAACTAACCTGATCTCCCGACTTAACCAGCTATTGCCAACCAGACGTTACCTTTATTCTTTGTAGAAGATATGTTTTAAATCATAAAGCGCAGGGTATTTTGCCACTACTTCTAATAAACTGTCGTTTAATTTCCTCACCACTAAAATTTAACTTAATCCCAGGCGTTGTCCGGGTAGCTGACGACACCATATAGCGAAAATAAAAGGTCGTCGACCTTGTCAAAATGTTATACACTATAAAAACAATCAGAAATGTAAATGTCGCTCCTGACTGGTCTTGGAGCAGTACCCCGCGACTGCAGCTCGCGGCTCTAGCGACAGTAGCTCCAAGCAAAACAGGACTGTGCAAAACCCCTAAGATCAGTGTCCCGCGACGGCCGCTCGGCGACAGTCGCTGCGCGACCGTCGCACCTGTCGCTCCATGCAAAACGTACCTTTACCAGGACAACAAGTTTAAGGAGCCACTGACATACAGGTGTCCTATAGGTTATAGGCCTTAAAAACAACATAAATTGGAACAGAACAATAGAAGCATTTGAAAGCACTCTTCAAGCATGTTGACATGTACATATTTATTTCACTTATGATGTAAAGTATGTCTAGTGTACAAAAGTAAGACAATCTAGTCCTATTTAAACATCCACTGCAAACTAACCTAAACATATACCTAGGTTTGTACCTATAGCCTATGCCAGCATACTTACACAATATTAGCTAATTTGCTTAATGTGTTTTCAGCAATAGTAAGTTATGTGTAAATGGACTCAATTTACATAAACCTATAAACACTTTTCGTACTAATTTTATTTAGGAAATATTTTACATTAACTTGAGGCTTAGGACAGTTGTGTACACATCAACATCAACAAAATAATGCTCTTTTTTTGCTCTTTTCTCTTTTAGTCTTTTACTTCTTCTCTAACTATTTAGTCTGCTTGGTTATTTGGTTAGTGCAAGGCAATGGGTTATTGCTTTCTCGCAGGTGTCTCCCATTCCCTCCACACGACCAAAACTAAAACCCCACTTAATTAGCCCGGACGGGCAGCCGGCAAGGCAGTTTTTAAAAGTTAATAGCATTTAATGTAATAATATGAGTGCATCCTATACGGCGGGACGGCCCGCAACGGACGTTCGGTAGCTTCCGCCGTTTGTTAAAAAGTCCGGGAAACAGAACTCTAGACCATTTCCGAGCTGCCGTACCGACCAGGAGCACTGCACACCGACTGGGTGAGCGGCACGCGACTTCCACCATTCTCAACTTGTCTCTGTCAAAGTTGCAGTGTGTTCTTGTGTCCTGGAAGGAGAAGGAGGTTAAGAAGACATCCGAGCTTCTCGTGACTCATTCGGAAGTATTGAAAAGATTTCACACCATCCTCTACAAGATCAGGACACAAGGTGTGGAACTCTCCAAAACTTAGTATTTTCCTGTTTATGTTGTGTATCCAAAATCTTTGCTTCCGCCTTCTTGTCTCCTACTCTTCCTCTGCTAAAATTAAACCTACTATCACCACTTTATCTACATCCATCTTTTACTCACAAGATTTAGCTCGCAGACTGTCGACTGTCCTAAATTGCGGATGTCCCGTCCCGTCTATCCATGCCATTCTGCTCTAGTGCGCGCACCATCTCTTAAAAATTCCGCTCGTGCCGTGCCAGCGTAGTGCGCACGTAGCTATAAACCGGGTCAAGAAAATCCTGATTTATTTCGTTTCCCAGTACTAGTACAGTAATTTAAATTCCGTTTTATTTTGCATGATTTTTTCACTCTATCTCTATTCCAGTATCCCGAGTTAGATTAAAGATGTATCATTGTAGCTAAATAGCTCTTTGAACCTTGTTACGATGCTGCGCTACAATAATTTAATCAATTGGGGCTAGTTTTTATCTGGAAGAAGCGGTGTAAAAATAAAATTAATCGTTGGAGTGAAACCCCTCGTTTTATTCCGCATGTTTTTTAATCCCGCGCATGGTCATATCTTTGCTAACATTCTGTCGTTGACTATTTCATCTATCCAGTAAATGATTAATCTAACAGCTTATAATGAAATTCAAACGAAATGGTTTACTGTCAAACTAAAGAGTTCATGACAATCGTCATAAAAAAACTGCCAATATGGCTTTAGTTTTACTTTTACAATTGCGTTAAACTTAAATTCTAAATTTAAATACTCTTCTTGTTTTTACAAGCAGGCCTGGGTTATAATGGCTTTTAACATTTTTGAGTTAAAGAACAGGCAGGTTTTTGATGCTGACTGGCAAGAGATAGTGCATTTTATAACTCAGTTGGTACTCAAATCTGTTTTGAGAGGCTGTATAGTGTGTAACATGTTTTACTGTTGTTTGTTGTATTACTGAATTTTTCATTCCAAGTTCCTATGACAAAGTCAATTTCATGTATTTTGATTAAAGAATAAATGTCTTACCATCAGACAAAAAAGTAGATCTGAAGAAACCTATACTGTATCCTTAATAGGTCCAAGATGTATGGAGTAAAAGTTTGATAAGTTTGATTGAGGGCACAGCCCCTATGGAGTAAAAGTTTGATAAGTTTGATTGAGGGCACAGCCCCTATGGAGTAAAAGTTTGATAAGTTTGATTGAGGGCACAGCCCCAGTATTTAGAACATTTTTACATTCCCTAAACCCAATAGTTCTGATATTAAATTACTTTCAAAATCTTCTGATTAGTTCTGTTATATATGTTGAATTTAATATTAGTTGAAGAATTTGTAGCAGCAAATTGCATGCAATGTTCGATATCGACTAATACACTGAATAATCAAATCTCTTGAATAAAAATCATTATTTTTTAGACAAAGACATTCGTTTCATAACGTAAAATCGTTTTAGTTTTTTCATATCAGCTTAAATCGTGTCGGGATCAGTCAAGTTTGAGTGTCTAGCATGTATCTAGCTGCGAGGCGGCTTGGGCCCGGACTGCAATGACGTCATTATCACGCACAGTCCGCTCAGTCTAGCCCACCTTTTTTACTCCATATGGGGGAGAGGTCAACCAAGCCTAGAACTCCAGTTGACCGTTGACCGCGTCGTTAGGTGACATCGACATCATAGATAAAACCATAGACTAACCAGTATGTTTTATCTATGATAAAACACACCTCAAGGAGGATGTATGTTTCATCTATGGCTACAGTACTTGTGTTACAGTATTCATGAAGAAGAAAAAAAAAACAATAATATTTATTTATTGCCAACGTATTTCAACAATTTACTATTGAATTACATAATATGAGTAGATAATAAAATTATTGACAATATTATTGTCCTAGTGGGATTTACACTTTATCATTGAGGCAATCATGACTTGATTTTAAGACAATAATCCTTCCGTTTTATCTAATTATTTGGTCTGCACCATACCATTTTATTGAATTTTTAAATTATTTGAATCATAGAGTAATTTTTTCTAGGATCTGGAATAATACGTGTTTATGAATTTGAAATTTTTAAGTTAAATATAATAATAAGATTTTAAATGTTAACATTTCAAATAATATATATTCTTGGATGTATTATGTGATATTTTATAATCAATAAGGGTTATTCGGTTATCATCTTCCAATTATCGGGTAAACATTTGTGCAAGTGGTGGCAACACTGTTTTTAGTATGCATTTTGTTAACAACTTATCTTCCAGTAGTCATATAATCATATTCTTATTTTTCTGAATTTCACTTTGACATAACCAAATCAGTTTTCTTCAATGTAAGATTATATAGAATTTTTAATTTAGAAAATAGACCGCCAAAATAACGCTTAAACATTAGATAAATTTAACCCATGATATTTTCATAACATTACCAAATATGGATGTATGAATTTTGAGGCGTTGGAATTTAACACCATCCATTTGTGATCAGTTGTGTGCTTTGAACATAATACCATAGTGCTGAATTGATTCCCTACTATGATTAAGTGATGGGTTACTCCCTTTTAGTATAAAACATTAGTGCTTTTATTTGGAGTTAACTAAAGGTTTAGTAAGGTTATGTTTGCAGTGTGATTACAGTTTTCTCAATCTAGCCTAGGCTCTATTGTTTCTAAGGTGAGTGAAGTAAGATTATGCCTACTAGCCTAGGTGATAGGCCTAGAATATCTAAGACTATTCACTACTGTAGACTCTTTTATGTATGATTGACATGAACAATGGTACAAAGTCATGATGGTTGTATAGCCTATTTATGAGATTTGAACTGAGTTGGCTGCATAATTAAAATTTGGTGTTAGGCTGCTAGCTTTTGCTTAGTTTTATCAATGAAACCTCTACTTTACTCATTCAATTTGGCTCTTGATAAAAAAGAACAACTTTCCTTGTGTTATTTAACTTACTCTCAGTTCAGTTCAGTCAATGAATGTGTAATTATGTCCATCCCTATTTGCGTCAAGTTTTCTACTTGCCATATTACTAGTTTAAGCCACAGAGAGGTAAGATACAGAGGATTCAAGCTTATGGGACAACCATTCACTTAAGGTAGGGAAAGAAATGTAGGTACTTGTACCGAGCAAGGAAGAGCCTGAACGGTGATGGCCACATGGGCTAGCATTTCTGTACCGTACATCAGTTGTAACGCACGGGGTCTTCCTATAGTGTGAGCGCTGTAGTACGTGATGGCGAGGGGGGAAAGCAGAGCGAAATGGGACGACAAATATCATTTGCTCTAGATACCAGTGACTGGTGCCTTAACCTCTGAATCCTCCTCTGCGAAATTAAGCCCAGGGTAGACCCATTAATTAGATCCCTTTTACTTGTGTTGGTAGTTTCTTGGAAATTAAGCATAATAAGGTTACCATGGGAACTTATAGTAACGTAGGCCTATGGTTAGAAACTAACTTAGATGTTTACCTGAAAACAATGGCTCAAAAATTGTTCTGAGTAGACAAAATTACTCAAACCCCTATCGTTTCAATTTTGTTACTGCAATAACTCTTCTCTGCTTGTCTCAGTCGCCATTAATGTATCAGTGAATTGAATGGGCTTACTACCTAACACAAAAACACGAAGGATTGAAAGGATCGTCTAGGGTCATTAGAGAGGGTCACAAGAACAATAGAACAGATTCAGTCTAACGGACATTGCAAACTTTTCTTCATATCCAATGAAATCCTCACCCTACCATACCTCTATCATTACCCATTTTGTGAAGGGGGCGAACAATTGTATTTTTTAGTTCAGTCGGAAACACCCCTCCTCTGAACAAAGAATTAATGAGATGAGTGAGGGGAGAGCATACCTATGAGATCACTGATTTTCTTTAAGTCTTGAGGAAAATTCATCATACCCAAATAATGACTTAAGGTTTTAATCCCATAATTTTATGCATTGCTTCTGTCTCAGTTGTGTGAAACAAGTAGAAAGAGCTCTAAAGATGTGCTGAAGGCATTTTGAGAAGATGACCTTTGAACAACTGTCGAGTAAACATTGTTGAAAATACTTGAAACCTCAGTAAAGTCCTTCCTTAAATAGCCTATGCATGATAGCTTTTGTATAATAACCTAAAATAAACTAGGTAAACCTAAATTTTTTTTATGTTCAGTAGTCATCCAGAGTGAGGAAATGCCTAGTGAACAGAGTAAAATTTAAATTTGCTCACTATCATACTTTTCCTCACTCCATATGACAACAGAGAAAAAAATGCTGAAAAGTGAGCAAAGTTACATGTTGAGGAATCAGCTCTTTTGCAAACAAATTCTAGTGAGTAAACTTTTAACGACAACTTTAGACATCCTTATTTATTTGTTAAAGAGTTCTTTCTATTGTTTTTTCTGTTAATGGTCTACATCGTGGACAAATGTTTGATTCTTGATGAGA